CAAGTGGCTTGTGGGAAAAGGGGAATACTTCGATGACATTCTCTTCTTGACTCCTCCCATCCCCCCGCTACCTCCTCACACCAGCTAAGAGGTGAGAATTGGAGGTTGCAGAGCCTGTTCAGTTGCCGCTTCTTAACTCTACAGAGAATGTCCAGCTGTGGGCCATTCTTTTTAAAATTTTTTTACTAAAAAAATTTTTTGAGAAGTGCAGCTGTGCTTAAAATGTGAGCCATTCTTAATGAAAAATAGTGGATGCCTAATGACTCTTGGTTCCTAGCTTTGGGTCCTATTTGCCAAATTCATAACAGAAGATGTCCCACAATATATCCTATTGATCTCATGGGGAAAACAAGTTTGTTTGATTCCACAACAAATTCTCCAAAAGACAAATATATATTCCAATAATTATATGTCATATAACATATAAATAAATACAAATGTGTAATGTATAACATATAGATTATAAATATATAAATGTAAATAGACATATTTGTATTCCAATAATATTAGGAATATAATATTAGGGTGAGCTTTGGGAACAAAATTCAATTACAGTCCTCACGCCAGCCAAACTCATCACAGATTCAGGAAAAGGAAAGCCTGGCTATGACGATGCAGCAAAAGATTAACCGTGGTCATTAAACAATTATAAGTATTAGCATGGTCTATACCGGAATTATTATGAGCACATTAAAGGCAGAGTTTAGAGCACTATAGTGCTATCTTCTGTAATAAACAGAGCTTTAACAGTATTGGAACCAACTTTCTTTAACAGGAAGTTAAAATGTTGTAAAGAATCCAGAGAGAGTAAAAAGAGTAAATAAAACAATTAGATAAAACATGTCCAAATTGTAGAACATTGAAGGAAACACTAAGATAATTGGCTTATGGCCTTTAAAATATATAGAAGTTTTATTTTTTAATTGACAATAAAGAATGAAAAGGCTTTTATTCATAGTGGAGAGTCTCATGTATTGTTTTAGCCTATTTTCTTTTTGGAAAGTCTGCAACTAAAAGTCTTGTCTATCCCTAATCCTCTCTGCTGCCTTTCAAATCATAGATAAATTTCTTTCTGTTGTTGAAACAAAAATCATTACCTTCTTTATCATCAAAACACAGTATTTTCTACTAATTATGATAGGATATAGTTTAATCAGAATAGGCATAACCCACATTAAGGCATTCCTAGGTGTGTTTCCTGGTTCCCTTAGCACCGTTATCTAAGTTAACACAAAATCGATTGCCTGTCTATATCATCCATCCTCCTGAAATGCAGTGCTCTCCCAATTGCAGTGTTTTTCATAGTAAGATCTCTCAATCTAATGATCAAAATCATTAGACAACTCACTAAAAAAAAAGCAGACTCTTGACCCTGTGTCAGACATATAGAATCAGAATCTATGGGAATAAAGCATTTTTAAAATAAAGTCTTCATGTGATTCTTAAATGTACAGTAAAATTAGAGAAGTGCTGTCTAAGTGGTTAACTCTGGAGTTTTATGTGTTTTTCTTCATCTTATTTTATGGTACCTGCAGCATTTACTTTATCTCAGAAATGCCTTCATCTCAAAACTTATGTAAGCCTCAGTTTCCCAATCTGAGAAATGGGTTAATATTATCTCATAGTTTTTGTGACAATAAAGATGATGATGAGTATGACAAAACTGGCATCAGGTAAAGCAGGAATCCTTCGGTGATTTTTGTATCGCTTCACCTGAATACACTGGGCAAACTGTAAGACTGTAAACCCAAAGGGTTAAATACAACAAAACCAGATGATGTGGGTTAAAGAACACTTGTGTCTCTCTTCCTAAATCAGGAAGCTTCTACTTTTGCTCTCTTGTTTCTAGGCCTCCCTGCATTTCTTCTCCACAAAGCGGGGAAGGGAAGAGCTGATTCTGTTCTCAAGAGTCCATTTATAAGTAGGGCATTAGTCATTACTTTGACTCCATAGCTAGAACTCCATAATCCACTCGCTCAAAATTATATCTCTTACATTTTTAAGTCCCTGCCTCCCTGGGATAATAAGCAGATTTAAATAGAGTGGCCAACTCTGCCACTAAGTCTGGACAATAAGGCAAGGAAAATAAATAAGACGTAAAGATTATAATGCAAGAAACAAAATTTTCTTCATTTGCAGATGCCATGATTTGTGGACTTAGAAAATCCAAAATAATTTATGACCAAATGATTAAAATTAGTAAGTGTAGCAAGTTCAATGAACATAAGGCCAATATGTAAAAACCAATTGTATTTCCATACAATTAGAAACTAGCAACAATTAGAAAATAAAATTTTTTGAAATCTTCATGAAATGGTTTTTTTTCCTTATTTACATGAAGTAAATCTAATAACAGGATGTGCAAAATCACTACACTGAGAACAAACATCATTGCTTAAGACATTAGATGGGGCTTAGCAATGGATATCTATATTTTAGTAATGACCTCATATTTTGAGTGTAGCATTTCTCCCCAAACGTAATCCATAGGCTTAATGGCAATTACAATCAAAACTGCACGGAGGAAATTTTGTTAGGACTTGAAAAGATTTCGAATTTAGCAACAATTTCTAAAATACATATGAATCAGAAGGGCATAGATGGGTTAAAATAAGGGGAAGACACATGAAGAAAAAAAACACTGATGAGTTTCAATTTCTAACTCTAAGCTGTATTTAATAAAGGCACATATTGAGATAAGTTGGAGGGATTAACAGAAGAAACAATATAAGTGCAGAAATAGATCCTGTACGTGGTTAGGATCATTGATTTAATGACCAAACACCACTGCAAAATTTTCAATGGGGGAAGGAAATTTCCACTAGAATGGTTCATGGGCATAGGAACCTTGAACCTTTTGGCATGCTCATTTGAAATGATTTGAGGTGTAAAATGGGCTACATGAAAAAGTGTGGGTTGTATTACTTGAAGCAGGCAAGATTTCTCAACAGGGGCACAAAATATACTATCCATAAGAAAAATAAATGGTTATTTGGCCTTTATCAAAGGTAGAATTTCTGTATCTCAAGAAATCCATTATGAAAGTGGAGTCAAGGTAATGGTTAAGTAGAATTCACAATACATGGTTGACAGGGCTTATTATCCAGATCTATGAGAATGCCCTACATGTGAACATAAACAAGCACGCTGGCACCAGGTAACTAGACGAAGGAAAATCCAGGTGACAAATGAGCATTATGAAGGATGTTCAGCAATCATTTCTCTTCAGGAAAAGCAATTAAAACCCAGTTTTAGATTTATCCTTGCATGTCACCATAATGGCTTAAATTAAAAGACAAACAAAAAGAAATCTGATACCATTTTTTGGTGAAGACGAGGAGTAACTAAAATTCCCATATATTGTTCATAAGAGCATACAACTTGGTAACCTTTCGAAATACATTTGATAATAACCACTAAAGCTAAATATATGCCTACTTTATGGCCTAGTTAAGTCCTTTCCAGTGGAATTATCCAAGAATAGTGAGTTTATATGTCCACCAAATAAAATTTAAATAAATGCTTATAGTAGCCTTTTCCATGATGGCACAAAACTGTAAACAATCTAAAAAACTCAAACGTCTATTTCAAGAAGAATGGAAAAATAAATTATTACATATTTATACAGGGGAATTTTACATATAAACTTAAAAATAACTTATGCATACAGCAATATTAATGAATTTCAAAGATACGGCACTGAGAGAAGAAATTGAGACAGTAGGATATAGGCTGTACAATATAATTCCAGTCACACAAAGTTTAAGACCAAGTGATGAAAGCCAGAATCGTGGTTACTCTAGGTGGGGAGTTGGGGAAGGGCTGTCGGATTGGAAGGGGCAGGTGGGAATCTTCTGGAGTAACGGAAAATTTCAGTATGTAGGTCTGGATGGTGTTACCCAGATACAAAGAAGTGTAATATTCCATTGAGCTGTAAACTAAAGTTTTATTCACCTCATTATGTATTGTACCTCAATTTCAAAAAGAAAG